CCTGGCATAGCTTTGGCCGGAGCAGAGCCAGCAGCAGCTCAGCTATGACACAGGAGAGCTGAAATGCTCAACGCTGGCAACAGGGAAATTGCAGGGGACAGCACGATCCTGTTTACAGGATTTAGAGATCGAGAAATAGGAGACTCAGTTTTAACTCTGAGGTCCACAACTTTTCATCTTTTGTGATCATAGAGTATATTTAGCTTTGGTATGTAGCTTGCTCCCATCTGTGGGGAACAAGTTCTTCATATAAGTCATATTTAGAAGTGACCCAGTGTCCTTGCTACCAAATTATCAGCACAACAACTGTCTAGTTCCCTCACTGGTGTCCTCAGCTCAGAGGCAGGCCAGTCAGAGCTGCATTTATCATTTGAATTACTGGGCATGTGTTTAATACTACAGTTAGGGACCAGTATGCCAACAGCTGTGCAAAGGAAAGACGAGATCAAGTACAAGCTGGACTGCTCTGAAAATTTAGACACTTGCATCAATCTGCCACATCGGGACTGTACGGCACCAGTCAGATCAGAATAGGAGAATTTTTGCATCTGTAACTCCCCAGCTCCTGCAACAAGGGGAAAGGACTCGGGTCTCTGTTGCTAAGGAGGCTGCTCTCGCGCTGGTGAGGCTGAAAAGCAAATCCACCAAAGGTAATGGAATCACACAGAGAAGACAGCACAACTTGAGCCATGTGCTGTAAAGACAAAGCTAGAGCCAGCTCAGCCCGGCTCTCCATCACAGGCAGGCCTGTGCCCTGACTGCACTGCAGTGGCACATGGAACCCTTCACCCAGAGCCCATTCCCTGCAAAAGGTCTACTACTGCCTTGAGCTTGGCATACCGTTTATGCAGCCAAGTGTAAGGTGTATATAGAAGACCACGCTCTCCTTTAGTATTGTTCTACGGGCCTATACTAGATGTAGGACATAAGCAATTGTGACCAAAACCAAGATGAATTGTATACCAAGCCCTTGGGTCCGATACCAGCATTTGCCACCTTGAAGAAGGTGTTCAAGAAAACTCACAAAACCATCTGATCTGTTCATAAAGACATGTCTCCTGTTAAAAAAAAAAAAAAAAAAAAAAGGGGGGGGGGCTTTTTCTGAATGGCAAGCATTTGGTTTGAATAGCAGTAACCATGCCTGAGAACTAGCAGCTGAATCCATTTAGAAAATGGATTTGAATGTTTTTCAGGAAATCCCCCCCCCACCCTACCGAAGCTTTCATGTTTTCAGCACACAGTAAATAGCAGGTGCCAGGTGTGCCATCCCACGGGAGATCCTGGGACCAGCAGAGTGGGCTGGGGTCCCGCAGCGGGCCAGCTTCTCTGTAAGTGCTGAGATAGGAAGTCAGAGCATGGGGGATGCCAGCTGAGAGAGGCTGAGCAGAGCACGGCCAGCGTGTGCTGGTTTATAAGCATAACCACAGAAAAGATGAAAGTTTGTTTCCTTTTTATTTTTAACCCAACAGAGAAGTTTTAAGGATAAACAGCTGCGAGGGAGGGTGGGCTGACACAAAGAGGGACTTTCTTCACTTCCTAACTGCAGCAAGCATCAATGCATGAAATTTCAAACTCAAAGAGATTTAACTCTTTCTGATGCTGCCTGAGATCAGCTGTGGGCCAGAGTAAGAGGCCCACCAAAATAAGCAACTACACAAGGATGGGCAGGGGGGGTTCTCTGGAGCAACAACATCCAATGTGCACATATGGCAAGAGCAGGATCCTGCCGCAAGAGACAGCTGGATGTTTCCAAGAGCTCAGTCACTGGTAGATCTCCCACACAGATAGCTCCTTTGCTGAGGCACAGCCGCAGGAATGCATCCGCCATAGGCTGCTCACGTCCAGAGCGGCAAGCACGGCTGCGAAGAGGAGAACCAGGGAATCCCCGCTCCCTGCACAGGCTGAAGCCTGTCTCGAGCACTGGAGTCACAGAGGAAAGGACCAAGAGACAGGCACTAAGCAGCTCTGCCACGTCACCACGTGCTCCATGTCAAATGGTCTACACAGCTGCTCTGAGCAGCTTCCAAGAAGTTTCATATATTCTCAAAACTTCTTAAAAGGGACACCACTGCAGTAAGAGACAGCTCCATTTGGAGAGCGTCTCTCCCTTCTCTGATCACCTAGGCACAGCTTTGTGCTGGCCAGTAGCTGCAGGGACATGCTGAGGCACTGGCAGATGCCTCCAAGCAAAGCGCAGTCTGTAAACTCGGGACTAAGCTCCCAGGCCTAATGCTCCTTCCCTAAATTCAAAAGCCAGATCCCGGAGTTACCCAGACACAGACACATCCTTTGCCATGTGTTACTGTTAACATCTCTGGTTATAACAATCTAGAGACTACTTTTCAGAACGGGATTTACTACCGACTCCATGCTGTCTGCTGTGCGAGTGCCTCCCCTGCCAGGACAGCGGGAGGAAGGAGAGAGGCTCATCATGGTTTCTCTTTCTGTTCCGCATACCCCGGGCAATATTTACAGCTGCATTTGGGTGCCTGAGGCAGGAGGGGGAAGCTGTCAGTTTATAAATAATCCTCACTGATGTTTGGGTAATTTTCATAGTTTCCATTCATTTCAGGTTTCACCAAAACCTGCATTCTGTGGCTTGATAGCTGGAACGTGACTGGCTGGCTTTCTCTTATTTAACTTCCTAGCAGTTAATAGGTTGTTCATTCATTTCTTCTTCACAAGTCCATCTTGCACACCTAGAATCCCATGTCCCACAACAGCTGTCTTTTGTAAACCACGTGCCAACCCGTGGGCAAAAACACTTTGCAGAGACAGGAACTGCAGGAGGGAGAACTGGGCAATGTCTTACACCATGGGCAAAGCAGACAAGCCACTGAGCTTCATCTGGGGAAGGTCAGGATCTGCTCCAGACAGTGCAGAACAAACGGACAACAGCAATTTGATGAAGCTTCCAAAGATAGAAAGACCCTGATAGAGCGCTCATCTACCCTCAGATCCCGAAGGGCCAAGGAAATTGTGGGTTCAAGGCAATGCAGGAGTGGAGCCTGGAAGGCTCAATTTTGTTGGTCTACTGACGAGACAGGGAACTGACAGCCAAGTTCTGTTGCTTGACTGAGCACCTGATGCTTTGCTCAGAAGTCACAGAGCTGCCCCTGCCATGGTGCTCAGGTAAATGGCTCCACATTTTGCCAAAACCACATTTTCAGTGATTCTGCTCCAGCAATGACTGAATGCAACAAAACTCTTGTTTACTGATGCTTGCAAATAATGATATATAATCCCCTTCGTCCAACCCTCCAGTCTCCTGGTTCCTGTCTCCTGGCAACTGATAAATAATTTATAGTACTCTCTGCTGTATGTGCTAACTGCAGCTCTGCTGGTTTAATGATGAAACCAATGCCTAGGAACTGGAACAGTAACTGTCGAGATCACAGGGAACACGTAGTCAGTTGATCCCACACTCCTCTGTATGTGAAACTAAAAGCAAACTGTTCAAAAAGAAAAGTGATGTTTTCCAGAGCTGCGGCTGCTGGGTAGGAATGGCAAATTATCTGCAAGAAGAACAGGCGTGTGCCGGCGCTCCTGGCAACACAAGGAGTTTAATGTGCTTCACCATTTTGCTCTTTTCTGTTAGCATGCGTGGTAAAACCTCATAACAGGCTGGTTTTGTTGTCAACTTCTCCTGTGTACTCCTGTGCAATTTGGAAAGCCTCTGGGGTTCACATCCCAAAGGTACCGCTGCTGCCTTCTCTAGGGGCTACGAAAACTATCATGGCTCCCATGCAAGGAGAGCTATGGAAAAGCAGCATCTTGTCTTCTACTGCGGCTCTTGCACCAAAAAACCCTCTTCATTTCATGACAGATGTTCTTCGAGTCTTTCCAACAGAGCCGTAACCACTTACAAAAACTGGCATGTTTGAACCCTACACAACACACATACACTGGGTGTGCACTATTGTGGCAACACAGTCTCTTACATCCATAAACTCACTGGAATGAGATTACCCAGGCAGTTGGCAACTGCAGCCATGAGGGCAGATGAGTGAAAGTTTCTGTTTTGTTGTTAGCAGATATTTTTCTTTTAAAAAAAACCCAAAAACACACCACCCCCAAAAAAACACAAGCAGAGAGCAGGAAAGGGATGAAGAGGGATGAAGTATTTCTGTTGATAAAGGCCAAAATCCCATCTATTTATATTAGAGTCATACAAAAAACACAACAGAGCAGTGCTCAAAAGCTTTAAAAAAATGCACCTACTTTCCTAATGCTCTTAGAAAATAATAATAAAAACCCCCTATCAATATTCACTTTCTGAAATGGTGTAAAAAAAGAACTGCATCAATCATTAAACAGTTAAATGAAGGCAGTATGACAGTCACTATTGTTCTCGTGAAGCACACTTGTCTTTTGCCGAGCAGCTGCCAGATCCTATTAGATGTATAAAAAGAGGACTTTTCTAACCGAGTAGGGATGGTATAAGCTATTGAAAACAGCAGACAAAAGCCCACTTTTGCAGACTATTCAAGCCTTGTGTAACATCTGTCCAAAATCAATTTTTGACCTAATGTTACTTTCATTAAGTAACAGACTTTGTTTCCAATGCAATTTGTTTTCTAGGATAAAACTGTATCCTAAGCATTATTACGTGGGAAATGGCACAGAAGAAGCAGAAGATCTTATTTGAGAAACATGAGAACAGAATTTGCTTAATTGTTTTGACACCTTAAGTACTATAATAGAGAAACTATTTTCCATTTATTTGAATTCTTGCGAATTCTTGAAGCTGGCAAAGCAGCACTGGGTTTATTATGACTAAGATTTACTGAGGATAAAGGAGGATCTTTGGGAATTACATTAAAGCTGACAAATGCACAAAAGTTCTGAAATCTTCACCAGAAATAAAGTACTTCCAACATTAACAACAGCTGTTGAAACTGTCCACTCTTGGCGGCTAAGGCTATTTTCACGCATCTTAAATAACGAGGAAGTTGATTCATGAATTTCATTTCAGACTGTTAAGAAACATTTCCACTTACCCAAAGGGTCTCTGGATGAAGGCTGGATGTAGCTGCTGCACACCTATGGTAAAACCTAAAAAAACATTTAGAAAAAAAGAAGTATTAATGAATGGCATCCATTGTACCATTCAAGTTGTAATATACGTGCATAATTACACCTCAAGACCACACGTATGTGCATTTTATCTGCTACGTATGTGAGCAAATTCAGAGCTCCATTTAGAAGTAAATTTTAATATGCGTGTGAGATATGCACAAGGGCCAGATGGGAATTCAGATTCAAGAACAGTGTGAAAGTGCTGTTATTGAACAGACAACAGGGTGTAATGCCTTATTTTACACACTAGGTACTGTGGCCATTAAACCAAAAGGCAGAATGAAGAAATGGATCTTGTTGTTAAAGCTGATGTAATGTAGAGGATAAAAGGAAAACAGCTTAGCCATGGGAGAAAACAGCTTTAACTTGGTTATATGAACTTAGCTGCATATAACGTTAGTGTAACAGGTACGAGTAAGATGATACCGAGAGAGGTAACTGGACTACACAGTGTTCTCTGTCAACAATCAGAACTATGAGGGGTAAGGATGCATTGTCAGATCAGGCGAATCCAGCCTGAGTAACTTGTTTCCTCGTCTTACAAGTTATTCTAAATAGAGATGGGATCTCCTGGATGCCTCACCAGTTTGAATACTCCTTGGTTTTGCTCCCAAATATGCCAGGTTCACGTTTGCTTTCCTGCCATCGATGATGGGGTTCGGGTCTTTGCAGGCTCTTTCAGCTGCAGCTCTGTCTGCCATGGTCACCTGCAATTAAGCACAGCCTTGTTTGTAGCAACAGCGCTTTGTAAACACTCCAGCAACAGGCACTAAGCGGAGTTTATTTATTGTTCTGTTTTGAATCAGGAGCCGAAACTCCGGTTCATGCGGAGGGGGCAAGATGTGAGAGGCTCCTGGGGGCTCGATAGAAAAGAGGGCTCCCCCCTCGCCCAGTTACTCCGCTGGGCTTACGCCAGTTGTTTTTCCCTTGCCTTTCCCCGTCCTCCCCCGAGCTTTTTTAAGAATTCGGCGGAGCCAACCCCCGGACTCCCCGAGGCAGCAGCAGTTCAGGGGAGCTGGCAGGCGCGGATCCGCGCCCCCATATACGCGGGGCGCGGAGGCCGAGGGCAGCACCGCGCGCCCGCTGCAGCCCCCGAAGGAACAAGGCGGCGGGACCGGGGCAAAAAGGTGCTGAAATGAACGGCCCGACCTCGCCGGCACGGGGCTGGGGGGGTGTCCGTGTCCCCTGCGGTCCCGACTCCGAGCCCGGCCCAGACTACAAGTCCCGGCGGCTCGGGGAGCAGCGACAAACCCCGCGGGCACAGGGCGGGGGGGGGCAAGGCGAAAGGACGGCTTCTGCAGGAGCCCGCCAAAGAAAACCGCCTCGAAAGAGGGTTTTTATTCACCCCTCCTTCCCTCTTTGCAATTGCACAATAATCTCAACGGTAAGTGTTTAATCCCGGGCAGGTTCGGACACAGGGACAACGCCAACAAGCAGTTTGCCAGCCTTTGGGGCACGCAGGGTGGCAAAGGCATGTTAGGAGGGCAGGAGGAGGGATGGTCCTGAACCAGGTCAACAGGGAGAAAACCGGGGTTTTAAACACTGAACAGAGGTCGAAAAGAATCTTTCTTAAGCAGGTCCCTAAACTTCCTGCTTCTCCACTGGGCACATGGACAACCCCTGGCTGTGCAGCCTCCTCTGGGGAACAGGGATGCATTATTCCTATTTCCTCTGATAGTCATCAGTGGGGTTCCCCTCCACTGTCCCCTTTCTGCATTTTGTTCCCTCTAAGGACAGGCAGCTCATACAAGAGAGGTTGTGAAATGCCTCTGATCTGACCTGCAGTTTTCACTCCTCACTTGGGGTCCAAATCTAGGAGTATTGTTACTGTAGTGCAGCCCCATATTCAATTCATGTTCATCTCTGTTCATAACTGCAGCAAAACAAAATCCAAAAAGTGCTTCAAAATCTGCCCTTGACCACTCCAATGGCAGAGTACTTGCGGTGCTTTCAATCCTCTCCTCCAACATCAGGTAGAGTCTGGCGTGTGAGAGAGGGTCCTACAAATAATTTTTCATTCAGTTTCCATCACCCAGATACTGTTCAGACAGAACCTCAAGAACTGCCCCTGTGCCTTAAGGTTTATCTTGCCTCTAGAGGGTTATCATTTTGCAGAGAAAGAGATTTTTTGCCACATGATAAATGCAGAGGTAACATTTTAGCAAACAAGCCTGTGAAGTTCTAAATCACCAGCAACTTTGGCTTCTATACAGCAGGTTCAGACTCTACAGACATTTTTCTTTTACAGAGAAAAGCCAGTTATTTCAAGAGAAAGGAATGCGTTAATGTCTGCACGCCATAGTTATTCATTAATATTTTTCTTGCGCTGCTTCCATAGTTTCAAACACCCTATGCTTCATAAAAGAAAGAGGGGCGGGGGAAGCCAAGGAAAGCCATTAAACTTTTCATTCCTAAAGCACCAGACTTCAAGACACATTTCCATTGATTACTGTGGAAGAAAGATGGAGCAGGGCCAGCAGCACCCAACACCACTGCAACATTAACAGCCTTCTGCAAAAGGGTCCGTCACGTGGGGATCCTCAGAGCCTCTGTGGTTTATGCAGTGATGTGCAGCCACTAGCTGTCCCTGGTCCATCCCAACACAAAGCCCAAAATACACCTTTGGGGTCGGAATACTGCCAGAGGCCGGGGCCTCTCCACCACTGAGTCATACCCCTTCTGTCTGCATGACTTCCACCACAAACTGCACATCAGCTGCTTCCCGGGCCGCCCGAGCTAATGACAACCCAGTTGGCATTCAGTCACTGTCCTTTTACAGAGCTTCATTCTGCTCCGAATGATGGCAAAGATTCAAATCATCCAAATAGACACGGCTCCTCTGCAAGGAAGGCAAGGCTCAGCTCCCAGTTCTCAAAAGCTACCAGAAGTATCTCAGTTTGCAGTGCTTATACTGGTCAGGGAGAGAAAAACATCACACACTTTTTTCCTCTTCAGACACGAGCCCCGCATCTCTCAAAATCCCAGTTCCTCTTCTTCCCTAGAGGCAGGAACAGAAGTTCTCTTACAGGCAGAACAGAACAAGAAAGAAATTAGGGCTAAGCCTGTACTTGGTGAACGCTGCAAACCCCACAGTCCTGCTGGTGTGGCTGGGGAGCGTGTGCATTTGTTTTGCCACACCCTGGAAAGCAGGACAGGAAATGAAATGTCCTGTCTCATGGCACAGCTATTACAAGCACAGGGTCTAACGAGCTGTTAGACACAGTGGGAAAGAGAAAGCAAGTAAGGGTAACATTATGGGAGTTTGGGTGTTTGTTTTTTTTTTTTACATTGTTTTCCCTTGTTCTTGTGACAAACGGTCAGCCTCCCTAAAATACTGATTAAATCCAGCCATCAGATCAAAACTGCAGGAGCTTGGCAAAGCTAGCTTGCTGAAACCTTCCTGTGCTTTTACTATGATGATAAGAGTACCCAAGAAGAGTATGTTTCGAGTTTCTCTGGTCAAAGAGAGCTCCTGCAGATACAGGCATATCAAAGTACGAAGCTGCCTTGGGGAATGCTTAGCACAAACCTGAGAGCAGACTGCAAGCAAAAAGGGGGACATATATCTGATACATGCTATTGTAGAGCTGCATTTACTTCTTTGTAGTTATTAAGAAATAAAACAATACTGGTCAATCAATGAGGAGGCTGGAAAAAAAAAAAATCATCTTCAGGAACAGTGTACAACCATCCACATTCTTAATGTACAGGATTTGTATTGCAAATCCAGAGCATCCTATTCTCATACAGATTGGGAAGATCAATTTTATGGTAATTCAACACAGTTAAGAGCACTCACTAGCTTTTTACTTACATGTTAATATATTCCTTGAGGCTTATGCAAAAGTGATACACAAAGGCTCCTTCTGGTGGACTTCAGCAGCATTATCCAAGACATGAAATGGAGCAGCTGCAGATCACTAAGGTAAGTACAGAACCATGTAGAAATAGTCCCTGTGTAAAGGAAGAAAAACAAATTAGGCAGAGAGTTGTACCTCTGGGAGCACAAGAACAGGACAGAGGGATGGGGAAAGAGTAGCAAATTAATTGCAGGGGAAAAGCTAGCCCTGCTCCTTGCCCTCTGCAAAGCTGTGAAGTTTTCTGTTCTTGTCCCTCCCTTGGCAGGGAGGGGTAGAATGAATGTCAGTGAATCTCTGTGGTGCTCTCCTTGTATACTTGTCTGAGCACTTCCCTTTCTTTCCCTGGTGTCTTTGGGAGAATTGAGACATCCCAGGTCTGATCTGAAAGCCATTGAAGAACCTCCTTCATTTCTTAGGAAACTGATGGGCTTTATTTTTAAAATGGAGCTGGGCTACTGTAGAGCTCTGACCTTTTTCAGTTTCTGCTGCTGCTTAGCCAAGACTTCATTGCTGTAGGGCAGTGCCCTTTGGTTTTGTCATGGATACCCGCTTACTGGTTATTGCAACAACAGTAAATGAAACATCCCTCTTACAAGCTCCACAGTTAAATAAGTTAGCTGGAGAGCAAGGGACTTACTGTGGGAACTGTTTGGTTTGTTAGTTTTACTAATGCTCAGTCTGGATACTGGCCACCAGCTAGGCTGTGAACAGTAGCATAGCTGGGAGATCTTGAGGGAAGCTGCATTCAGTGGCATTTGATTTAGGTTTTAGCAGGAAATTCTGCATCTAGGCCCTTTGTCTCAAATTTTCTGCTTTGATGCCCTGAACACAGCATGACCATTGCTTAACTCAGCTGCTGCTGCAACAAGAATTAAAAAATAAAAATTTTGCCTCTTCGGGCCACTTGTAACAAAATATTTGAGTAGAGGATGCTCCTCATCAGGACTGCTTTTTGAACAGGCTTTTGCTTCAGTAGGAATCTTCCAATAGGACTATTTCCCCTTCCAAAATATTTCAGAACTCGTGCTGAGTAAGCTCTATTTCCTTTGCTGGCTACACTAGTTACATAGGAGCAGACCATCAGCTCTAGTGGTCACAGAATCATCTGTTTTAATAGTGCAAGTAACCTGCAATAAAACAACATAATAAGATGCCACATGGACATTGGTAACTCTGGGATTGAGAGAAGCAACAGATAGGACACCTGACTCTAGTCTGCTGGACCATAAAGACATTTTAGGGAGAGAGTGGTGAAAAGAAATGTCATTAAAAGACAAGTTTTACTTCTCTAAACCGTCCAGACCTCCCACTGGATATCCCTTTGCAAAATGAAAGTTGTGGGTCTGTGCCATGAAAAAGGACAAACTGAATTGTGGTAACAGCTAACAAGATTCCCTAAAAATAAAACAGAAGCTAGGAAGAGAAATTACAGAGCTCATAACTGCTTGTAGGATCTTGCCACAGGAAGGCAGAGCTGCAATGGAAGCCTGGGATATAAGTCTAGATTAAAATACAGGCATAAGAGGAATCATGGCCAATGAAACTAAGAGGCTGTGCCATCACACTGCTTATACACCTGCAACTACCAGCAAGGAGAACTTCTATATTCAGGAATGTTGTGCTTTGTTCTTTAATGATGGTATGTGTCCAGAGCTTGCTACTTCTTTCCCCCCTTCTGGTCTTGCACTTCCCAGGACCAACGGCAATGTTAGGAATCAAAGTCCACTGGATGGTAAACCACTTCCAATTGCTATTGCTGGGTGCTGCCACTGTCAGAGCTTCCTTTGCTCCCACCTGCGAGGCGGCGAGTTGTGGCAGTAAGACTCCCTGCAGCTCACACCACC